AAGATTTCAACATACGAATTTTGGGTATAGACAAACATTCAGCCATGACATACCTCATTCAAACACTAGTTGTGGATGTGTAAGAGCTTTTGTTCATGATATATTTCAACTACCTGAAACTGTGCTAGTACATAGTATATATTGCACACATACAAAGGTGTTTCAAAATGTTCATGGAAATACATATTTTGAAGAAACTTAAATGAACTTCAAATGCTTTGCATGAAAGTATACCTACCTTTTAATTTCCTTTTCCTGTAACTTGGGGAGTAAATTAGAGGACAGAAGATCTTCCTCTCTGTCTCTCCTCTTCTCTGTGTATCTGACATTCCAATAAGAATAACTAAATCTTTTTTAAAAAGTTAAAAAAAAAAAACCCACCTATCTATTCCTCTTACAGTACATCAGCAACTTTACATTTTAGATTTAAATCTTCTAACTGGTATGGACACATTTTTTTTTTCCTCTCAAAAGGCTCTCTAGTTGTCTAATAAACACACTTTTTTGGAAAATCTCTGATTACTGCCCCTACTCTCAATGTTTCTTAAGGGGTACTTTGTTGTTTTCTAATTGACTGTTAAACGTGCCCTCTTCCTGTGCGAGGAGTACAGCAGCAGTGTGACCTCATTTAGTCAGTGTGTCCTACTCAAGGCGCGAGATCAGAGTCACACTTGATTAAGAAGTTTCTATTTCTTGCTTTTCACCAATACATTGATTACAAGCAGAGCTATCTCCTCGACTGTGGCTACTTAGACTTTTTGGGAATGTTTCCCAAACTCCAATCACATAAAACTCCCCCCCCCCCCTTTCTACTTCAGGCAAGATCATTTTTTTTTTTTCTAGAATGCATGGCAGAATTACCTTTTTAGTCGTTTGGAGGATAGGCAAAAGTAGATGTAGCACAACCTTACAAATGTGCTTCCTGCGGCTGTGACATCTTCAGGGTACTCGCCTCAGTGGGCTCCCTAGTCCGGTGGCTGAAAGGTTACTTCTAAAACATAGACAATTCCACAACTACCACAGTCTGTTGAATTTTCTTTCTTCTTCTTCTTATTTTCTTTCTCATTAGTTTTAAATAAAATAGGCTCATCACTTGGAGGTAGCTATCAGCTAGCTATCAGCTAAAATGTGCTATGCACCTATTTCACCCTAAGTGCCAGGGGCAATAGGAAGAACTTGCAAGTCATTTCAAGCAGCATTCATTTAGCACCGACTATATGCCAAGGTCATCTAGGTGAGCAGCAATTTTGCTTGATTCAGTGTATGAGCCAATCACTCAGCTAGCATCTGGGAAGACACATTGAACCAAAGGGGAAAAAAATACAATAGAAAAATGTAAGTACATAATTTAATGATAATTCAAAGGGCTGCAAGGAAAGAGGCAACGAGGGAAAATCTAGACAAGGAGGGTGGGATTCAATGATATCTTTTGAATAGCCTGAGACAGGCTTTGCTAAACTGCCTGTTAATCTGACGCCCACACAGGGGGCACGCCCATGCTCCTCTTTCCGAATAACACCAGTAGCAGCCTCTGAATTGATCTTGCTGCTTCCCATTCTTCCCTCCTGCCCTGCAGTCTCCAGGGTTCAGCCAGGGTAGCCTGGTGAAAACGAAAGGATTCCCTCTCCATCACCCCCTGTCTCCCTCCCCAGCTTCTTCTCGCCGCTTTTTGTCCCCTACACAGTGCAGTCGCCCTCGTCCCGTCCCGACTCTTCCTCTTTGCTCCATTCCGGGACTTCGGCGAAGGGCAGACTGATCTGGTCCCCAGGCGTGCACATTTCCCTCTGGAGACTTGGGAGACAAGGGCGTCTATTGTGGAGCCTGCTCTGTTCTGTCTGAGACTAGGGCAGACATTGTTTGGACTCCCAGTCTAGGGAGGGTCCTGTAGTCCTGTCTGGCTCTTAAGGTGGTTCTTCCCAGCTCACACTCTGCTAGCTGAGCTGGGCGTTTAAGGCTTTTTTTTTTTTCTTTCTTTTTTCCCTGGACAATTTCCAAATATTACCAGAGTCATTAACTTACATAACTCATTCTCAAGGCAGATGGACATGACTTTTGCTTCCCTTGTTATTTTCTGGCTAGGAGAAAAGCAAGCACAGATTCTTGTCCTACGGAGCATTGTTCCTTCTGTTAGTGTTAACAATTCGGAGGCAGATCCAGGGCTCCTAGGGGCTTTTCACTACCCGAGCGCTGTCTCCTCCTTGCTGCCTGGCATACGTGGTCTTTCTCCTCGGACAGTAGGATTAGAACCATGGAGAAGAAAAATAATTTTTTTTTTTTGTGAACAAAAAACTGCTCACAAATGTCATGACACACTCCAAAATGAACTGGTAAGAGTTTAGCCTGTTTCCTTCCAGTTCGTCTTGCTGTTATTGTCTGGTCTTGGATTTCCTCTTTGCCGCACAGGTTTTACCCATGTTTCTGGCTTTTGTGACCACCTGTTCGGTGACAACTTCGCAGAGATCATCACATTTCCCAGTTCTGACATGCCAACCTTGCTCCTGCGCAAGGGTTTTGGTAAATGGCCGTCACCATCTGTCCTGCTAATATCAGACACTTAGAGTCACCCATAACAATTTTCCGTTTCCTCAATGCCTTCCCCATCTGTCTTAGTCCATTAAGACTGCTATTAAAAAAAATACCATAAATTGGCTAGCTTATAAACAACAAAAATGTATTTCTCATCGTTTTAAAAAGAGATGTATTTATTTGTATTAGAAAGTCAGATATACAGAAAGGAAGATCTTCTGTCCATTGATTCACTCCTTAAGCAGCCGCAACAACTGGAGCTGAGCCAACCCGAAGCCAGAAGCCAGGAACTCTTCTGGGTCTCCCACACAGGTGCAGGGTCCCAAAGATTTGGGCCATCCTCCATTGTTTCCCAGGCCACAAGCAGGGAGCTGGATGGGAAGCAAGGCAGCTGGGATTAGAACCAGCACCCATAAGGGATCCCAGCGCATTCAAGGTGAGGACTTTAGCTGCTAATCTATTGCACCAGGCCCTAAGTTTTTGTTTTTTAAAGACTTTTGATTTTAACTTGAAAGTCAGAGTTACAGAGAGAGCAGGAGAGACAAAATATCTTTCATCCCTTTGTTCACTCCCCAGATGGTTGCAACTGTCCAGCTGGAACTGGATCCACTGGAAGCCGGGAGTCTGAACTTTCTTCCATGTCTCCCACTTGGGTACAGGGGCCCAAGGACTTGAACCATCCTCTGCCGCTTTCCCGGGGGGTGGGGCAGAAGCAGACAGCTGGATTCTAAGGACAGTGGGGATGGGGTGGGGGAGGGGCAGCCAGAGGATTAACCTATTGTGCCTCTGTGCCTGCCCCTATTTCTCACACTTCTAAAGGCAGACAATCCAAGCTCAAGGCCCCGGCAAAATTGTTGTCTACTGGGGACCCATCCCCACCAATGTCCCGGCGTGTAGAGGGTAGCTTCTGGATTGCCCTGCTTCCCACGGTGGAAGCAGCCTCTTGCTTAAAGGCACCAATTTGGTTCCCCATTGCCCTCAGTGCTCCCAGCCTACTTGCTTTCCATAGGCCCCATCTCCTGATGGGACTTGGAGTTCAGATTTTAATACATACATCTCATGAGGACTCAAACACCTAATGCCATAGGACCATCAGATTCAGGTACAAATGCAATCCAGACTACGTGCTGAGCACACTTAGCACGCAATTGTCCCTTCCTTCTGGTGCATCTGCTGCAGCCGCCTCTACCCACCTGCCCGCCTCTCCCTCTAGCTGGCTCCCACAGCCCTGTTACTAGCTATTTCTTCACTTACTGCTCCTCAGTCTTTGAATGGCTTCAAAGGCCTGGCTTTCCTTGGCCCCTGATTTCACGTCCCTTAGACTTGGGGGGGGGCCCTTTGTGTCCCTGGATTCATGCCTGCTGAGCTCCGCCCCATCCCCCATCCACCTTGTGCATAACATTCTCTTTTCCTGCAAGGATCTTCCTTCCGCTACCCCTTAGGCGATTGGTTTTCCTTCTTTCAGCTCCGATTTCCAAATTCCCTTCTTCACACAGACCTTCCCAGAGGTCTCAATCAAATCCAGCCCTGCTCGCATTGCCTCCTGAAGCGTGGGGTTGTACTTTGTCCCCTACATCATTCAGAGCTTGCAGTTATTTTATAAGTTTATTGCATCTCACTTTTTTTTCTTGAATGTTGAAAGAAATCAAATGTAAAGAATCTTCTTTTTTTTTTCAATTCTACACCTCCCCCCCCCCCCCCCCCCCGCTAAGCAACATATCCGACTAGACAGAGACTGCACCATTCAAGTGATAGCCGCATACCCAACAGAGACTTTCTACATCCTGTGTTCTGGACAAGCTGCCAAGAAGCAGTGTGTAACTCTCCCAGTGTCAGGCGCGTCCCCTTGGTCCCAGTTGCTCCGGGTTGCATCTTCAACGCCCAGCTCCCGGATTTAGCATGTATTCAGGAATTGTCCTGCTGGCAAGTGTTTATGGTTTGGTACGGTTTTCCCTCCCCATCTCACATTCACTTAGCCACACTTCCATCATTCATCAAAAATTCTTGTTGACGACATTGTTGGAAAAATTCTTCAACCTATTGTTTTCTATGTCTATAGAATTGGCATAGCTCGAGAATGTACCTTCATCATGTAATTTTAAGAATTCAATTAACAGCAAAGTAAAAAAAATAAAGTTTTGAATTCTCCCTAGCCCATCAGGCCGTTCACTCAAATCTTCTTTATTAAATGAAGCTCGTGCACCATTTTTAGCAGAAAAAAAAAAAAAAAACCCACAAAACACAAAAAACGTGCGTTTCGGGAAAACGGGTGGGGGGTAGGGAAAACGGTTAGAAACCGGCGCGGGCCAGTAGGCGGAGACACCGGGTACGGGGCGGGATTAAGAGTGAATGGCAGGGGAGGTTAGCCAATGGAGAGGCTGGGAACCACTTCCCCCTCCCTTTGCGCTTCGAATTCTAAGCTTCGTTTCCATCCGGGTCCTTCAGCCTCGTTCCCGGGCAGTATAAAGTTTGCTGTCTCCTTTGTTCGCCCTCGTTGCGCAGTAGTGCAGTCGGCTTTCCGGTTGTGGGCTCCTGAGTGCGGCCTTCGCTGGAGCTTCGCTGTTAGGAACTCCTGGCTGGGGAGCTCGGAGGAGCTTACCACCGTCGACGCCCCTGCCGGTATGTGAAGGCTGTCAGCAGTTCATTTTGCTTACCGGCTCCCCACACCTCAAGTTGGGATTATCTCCCTGGGGATGAGGGTGGCGGACGCCATTTTATGAGCCCCAAAGTGCCGGCCCATTTAAATAAAGCCAGGAAGGTGTGAGCGAGCGCAAACTAGCGAGCGCGGCGTCCTCTTGGACCTCTTGAGAAACTTTGGCCGTGGCCGGCGGGAGCGGGGGCGGAGGTCGGGGCTTTGTGGGCTGGGGCGGGACGCGCCACCGCGGTACCTGCATTGGGACGGCATTGGCTCGCGGGACGGGCGTGCGGACTGCTACGTGGGCTCCTTGAGCGTTGGCGGTTTTAGACAGGAGAGCCTTGGAGTTTCGCGGCCAGGGCTTACGGTAGAAGTTAATACCCTGCCGGGTGTCGGTTTTTCTGGGCTGAATCCAAGTGTCGCCATTTTGTCTTTCGCACGCGGTTTTAATGACGAGTTTTAATTAGCTTCTGCTGCAGTCATGGGGGAGATTGCTAGTGTGCTTTTCAATGGCCCGGCCCGTTACTTAATGTTGACACTTTGCATTTGAATCGCACGGTAGCCTCGGTGGAGTGGGGACTGGTGAAGGGCAGTAACTTGCCTCAGACTTGAGATTTCTGCTTAGACTTACTGAGCATCCTGTTGAGGGAAAGACGGGTCCCTTGGAAGCGGGCTTGGCGTTTAGGTCCCGGGTCTGTTCTGTGACCTTGACTGGTCTGTAGGCTTAAAACATCCTGTGGGGGAGGGAGGTTGCGATAAGCAATTGAATCTGGGTTTCTAGCATTAATTTCCCTTTTCAGGTGTTGAGTAGCTAATGAATGCGAAGCAGCCAATTGGGGATTAAGGATGTTGGTCAAAGTTGAAAGTCGGTCTTTTTGAAGCTGTTGTGATGTAAATTGCACTGCCACTGAACTGCTTAACCTGAGTTGGTTTCTCCCTGCGTTTGTGGCTGATTTTTTTTTCCCGGTGTGCGTTATTAAAGCAGTAATGAACTTACCAAGTGAATGCACCAGATGCATCCGATAAACTTGAGCCTTATCTAGGTGATAACGCTTGACCTTTCTCAACAGAATCACTGGGGTAAAAAAATGGTTGAAGCGGATCGTCCAGGAAAGCTCTTCATCGGTGGGCTTAATACAGAAACAAATGAGAAAGCCCTCGAAGCGGTGTTTGGCAAATATGGAAGGATCGTGGAGGGTGAGTTATCTGAAAGTCTGTGCTGACTTGTTATCTTAAAAGATGAGCCATGATGTATCCCATTGCGTTGATCATCTGAGATGAGACTTTGTCCTCTAAGAAGTTCTGAGCTTTTCTCATATACACATTTACTTTGCTGATTTTATTTGAACCTAGAGTAACACTTTTCTGAAAACTACTTTTTAGTACTCTTGATGAAAGACCGGGAAACCAACAAGTCAAGAGGTTTTGCTTTTGTCACCTTCGAAAGCCCAGCAGATGCTAAGGATGCTGCCAGAGACATGAATGGCAAGGTGAGATTGTGCTGTGGGTGCCGTTTCCCAAGGCAAAAAGAGCGCCTGGCTGGGTCAGCCAGAGAACCTCTGTTTTAAGTCTCTTCAGTAATTCACATTTTACATCCAGAGGTTACACATCCGTATGATTTTTGGAATCCATAAGCTGTAGTTTAAATGGCTATTATGACATTTTGACAGCAAGCTAATAACGCACCAGCCTGGCTTGGACTAACCCACACCGCCCCCCTCCCAGGACCCTCTTCCTTTGATGTTGATGCTTAGTTGCTGCTCTTTGAATCCAGGCTTGAAGTAAATGACCAAAGGATCATTTATGTTGCTGGATTTTGTAGTCTAATTGGTGGGCACCGCGATTGTCACAGAGCAACTGTGCGTCTGCAGTTGTTTTAAAAGCTTGGTATCACTAAATGATTGATTTTTCTCTTAGTCTTTGGATGGAAAAGCCATCAAGGTGGAACAGGCTACCAAACCATCATTTGAAAGTGGCAGACGTGGACCACCCCCACCTCCACGAAGCAGAGGCCCTCCCAGAGGTCTTCGAGGAGGAAGAGGTGGAAGTGGAGGAACGAGGGGCCCTCCGTCACGAGGAGGGCACATGGGTAATGACTGGTGGACCTTGGGGTGTTAAGCGTCTGTACGGGTGGCGCTAGGTCCTTGCGCAAAGGCCTTTGTGAGTGAGAACAATTGTTGATCTTCTCAAGTAGTTGCGACTAAGGGAAAAAAAGTTTCCCGAGTTCACCCAGCGTTAATTTAAATGGTGAATAAAGTTCTCATTCTTCAGGGTTTCTTCCTGTGGGAAAAATAAAGGGGGATTTTTCTTGTACTTGTTGGGCACATGAAAATGAAACATTTGTTTTTTCTATGAAGTAGTCTCAAGGGTTTTGACTTTGTGTCCTAGTCTACATGACTGGATTGTACAGCTGAAAAGTGGCAGAAAAGGTGATGTTCATATTCTTGAGCACCTGTGCAATTCCTAATATGTTCTTCTATCCCAATGTAGATGACGGTGGCTACTCCATGAACTTTAACATGAGCTCTTCCAGAGGCCCACTGCCAGTCAAACGGGGCCCACCGCCACGAAGTGGGGGTCCTCCTCCCAAAAGATCTGCCCCTTCAGGACCAGTTCGCAGCAGCAGTGGGATGGGAGGAAGAGGTAGGTGCCATCAGCCTGTGTCATCACGGTACAATTAAGGTAAATTTCAGACGGGGTAATGTGGGTTAAATAAAGCAGCAGGTTGTAGGGTCTTGCCTTTAGTGGATTTGACAGAACCAGGCTTTTCTCCTTAGCTGTATTTTGTAAACGGTTGTATTTTCTTTGCGGAAGCTCCTGTATCACGCGGAAGAGACAGTTACGGTGGGCCGCCTCGAAGGGAACCCCTGCCCTCTCGCAGAGATGTGTATTTGTCACCAAGAGATGATGGATACTCTACGAAAGACAGGTAACCGGACGGCATGGGGCAGCTTCAGCCAGCACGGCTGCGGGGGATGGCTCACTCGGAGCCTTGACCGGATTCCTTTCGCTTCTGTAGCTATTCCAGCAGAGATTACCCAAGTTCCCGCGATACCCGAGATTACGCACCCCCACCAAGAGACTATACTTACCGTGATTATGGTCACTCCAGTTCACGTGATGACTATCCATCCAGAGGCTATAGGTGAGTGCCTGGCTGTGTTTTTTTAATGCTATAAATGCTGACATGCAGGGAGCTAAATTGGATTTCTCTTGAATCTAGTGATAGAGATGGCTATGGTCGTGATCGGGACTACTCAGATCATCCGAGCGGAGGTTCCTATCGAGACTCCTATGAGAGCTATGGTAAGATACCTGGTTAAGGGTCTTTCCTATCAGCTTGAGTTTTAGGTTCATGAGCCAGTTTATTAGGCTGTGTGGTGCTTGCTTTTAAAGGGACGTTTGCTTGCTCTTAAAGGGGTAACATCAGCTGGGCTTTTCCTAGTTTTGTGAGGGGCTTTTGTTTCTTCTAAGTTTTCTTTTTTCTTTCCTTTTTTGAGGCTGTTTGCTTGCTTTGGAGGGGATTTTGCTTGCTTAAATTGGCAGCCTTATGTGTTTTCCCCCAACAGTGAAAATACAATTTAAAATTTTTATTAACAAGATCAAATGTTTACCATTGCAATATGAAGGAAAGTCGACAGTTCAAAATTGCAACTTATCACTGGAAAGTGGCTGAGTGTCTACTATAAAATAACAAGCTGTCTGGAATATCCTCTTGAAATACACACCGTCTTCAGTCTTTTCAAACAAACATTAAAAATCGATCCATTTCCGTGTCTCAGCGGATGAGCAAATCCCTGTTATGGCCAGCAATGGCAGAGTTTAAAACCTCCCAGTAGAGAAAGTAAACTTTTAATACAAGAATTCTGTAAATTCAAATTTAAATGTTGTATATATACAATTTATAGTGTTGCCATATTACCTGACCATTGACCCTGCAGGTAACTCACGTAGTGCTCCACCTACACGAGGGCCCCCGCCATCTTATGGTGGAAGCAGTCGCTATGATGATTACAGCAGCTCACGTGACGGATATGGTGGAAGTCGAGACAGTTACTCAAGCAGCCGAAGTGATCTCTACTCAAGTGGTCGTGATCGGGTTGGCAGACAAGAAAGAGGGCTTCCTCCTTCTATGGAAAGGGGGTACCCTCCTCCACGTGATTCCTACAGCAGTTCAAGCCGCGGAGCACCAAGAGGTGGTGGCCGTGGAGGAAACCGATCTGATAGAGGGGGAGGCAGAAGCAGATACTAGAGACAAACAAAACTTTGGACCAAAATCCCTGTTCAAAGAAACAAACAAAATGGAAACTATCCTGTCATAACTACCCAAGGACTACTAAAAGGAAAAATTGTGTTACTTTTTTTTTAAGTTTCCTGTTAAGTTCCCCTTCCATAATTTTTATGTTCTTGTGAGGAAAAAGTAAAACATGTTTAATTTTATTTGATTTAATGACATTGCTTTTAACAAGCAAATGTTAACTGTGTAAAACTTGACTTGTTGTACTAGTGTTGTAATTTTCCAAGTAAAAGTTTCCCTTAAAGGCCAAATCCTATCTGATTTTTTCCCCCAGTATAAGAGGCAAGCATTTCTTAAGATCTTCCGCAAACATCTAGCCACCTAGATGTCCATGATCTCCATTGAGAGGCCACACATCCTGCCTGTTCCAACAGGTTAGCTCTTAGAGGGTGGTCGGGGTGTGCTAGCTACTCCCAGGATTTCAGGATGTCTTCAATCTGCAATCTCCATGTTCTCAGTATGCAAAACCTGAGATCAGATGCCTGTGTAAGGAAAGTACTATTCACCCAGTAAACCCCCAAAAGCAAATGGATAATGCTGGCCACATTTTGCCTTTCTGACATTTCCTTGGGAATCTGCAAGAACCTCCCCTTCCCCCTCCCCCAATAAGACCATTTAAGTGTGTGTTAAACAACTACAGAATACTAAATAAAAAGTTTGGCCAAAACCAACCATGAAGCTGCAAACGATGCTTGCTCTTACTGTTTCAAATTTTTGCAACTCTGTAGTGTCTCACTTTTAAAGGAACAGCTTGATTGCAAAGGAGAAAATAGATAAGCAATGAAGTTATCTCCAACTTCCTAAAGGCTTATGACTTCTAAAAAGTGAATCTATCAGCATTCCACATCAGATATAAAGCACCAAATGCCTGTGAAACAGCAAAGATGGTAAGCAAAGCAAACTAGTTTTTCCGTCTAAGTCGAAATTGAACACTTACCTTCCTCGTAGTACAGTGAAACGTGCTGTACTAAATGGCAATGGAAATGCCTTCTAGCTTAAAAACCTTTGGAAACAGCAAATGTTCAATAGCCTGGTAGAAGTTCTCCAAATTCGACACTTGGATTTTTTTTTTAAAGCATGTGTGACACTTAAAGGCCATTAGAAAAAGCTGTTGTTTACCAATGGCAATCTGGGGCTTGGGAGGGGGTATTTTTTAATTTTTTTTAAGTCTTTTTTTTTTTTTTTTGGATGAAGACCTTTAAACATGCTTCATAAGTTTTAGCTTTTTTCAAATTAGGCTTTTTAGTCAATATAGGAAATGGCTTAGGTTTGGGGTTCCCCCTCTCTACCCCTGTAAGCCATTGCAAATTTTCACATTTAGTTGGATGCCTGACTTGTTTTTAGTTCTATGAAACTACACTGTATGGAGAAAATCTATTGCAAGTGTTTTTGTTTTTTTTTTTTTTTAAAGCAAAACCTGAGGCAGCATGACCCAGGTCCAGCCATGAAGTTGAAAAAGATGCTCTTGAAATATAGTAAACTTGAAGACCTCCAACTAAAAAATCCTTACACTGCACTTATCCTTCAAATAAATTTTGTCCGTTCAACTTATGGATTTATCGTGGCAGTGCACCATTGGAACAGAAAGAGAATCCATAAGCCATGCAACTTAACCATTTAAGCCATTCCAGTCCATCCCAAGCCAGTGACTTCTTCCACCACTTAAGAAAAGTAGTAGGACATGAAATACATTAAACTGCAAGTCTGAACTTGCCTTTTCTTTCTGGAAAAGAGGGCAGTTATAGGCAAGTTTGCAAGGATGTTCCTTAAGAGGTAACTAGTTCTCATCTATCTAATTTTTGCAGGTTGAGAATTTATGGTCAAAATGGTCATGGAGTGCTGATCTATTCACAGCAGATAAAGCTGGCAGCAAGAGAAATCAATTGCTAAGGTGAGTTTAGAAAGTTTTTTTGTGGTTTGTTGCTGCTTTATGGTGGCAGGTTTTTCTTAAGATTTATTTGTATTTGGAAAGTCAGATATACAGAGAGGAAGATCTTCTGTCTTGATAATTCACTCCCCAAGCAACCACATCAGGCCGGAGCTGTGCCAATCCGATGTCGGGAGCCTCTTCCAGGTCTTTTGCATGGGTGCAGGGTCCCAGGGCCTTGAGCTGCCCTCGCCTGCTTTCCCAGGCCTCGAGCAGGGATGGAAAGGCTGCGGGGTTAGAACTGGTGCTCATATGGGATCCTGGCAAGAACAAAGTAAGGACTTTAGCCATTAGGCTAATGCACTGGGCCCTGTGCTGGCAGTTTTAGTTTCTGGAAATTGATGTGCTACTCGGCTTCTATTAGTGTGACTCATTCGTGTACTATTAACTGGGTTTGAACATTTTGCTTTGTGTACACTTTCTCACATTTCCAGGATATATTTTTCATTCTTATCAGGACCTGCTCATTTTCACAACCACAATACAAATTGACTAAAATAGAGAGCTATTTCCAGTTTGAGTAACACCATTTTATCGACAAAATGATGGCAATTTTATCGAAGTGATGGTTAACAGTAATTGTAATGGGTATTGATGGCTGCATTTTGGAGCTTATTGTTAACCAGTTAAAGCAGCTGGAAAGAGTGTAAAAATAACTAGGGAGCCGAGTGCTTTCTTGTGTGAAACCATTGTGTTGATCCCCTGCTTTCTCTTTCACAGAGTTGTTGAAGCAGAAGAAGGCCGATTGTGGAAAAGTCCCAGCAGTCCCATATGCAGTGCCCAACACAGTTGGTTTGGTGCAGGCAGTAGGTTTCCTTGAAGGGTTCTTGTGCATCTGAGGAAGGCATCAGTGGTAGTTGGCTCAGTGACTGGCCAAGCGAATGGAGGAGGGGAAGCAGTTGAGGCCATGGGTATGTGGAGAGGCAGGCGGGAAGCTTCTGTGATATTTAACGTAATGTGGGTTTTACAGCTTTGGCTTTGATTTTTGTGAAGTTGTAGGGACAAGTCTGTAATCAGACCTTAATACTAAATACCGGTTGAGTTAGAAAAGTGACAGGCCCAAAGCAATTGAGTAATTTTTGATATTGGCTTAACCAAAAGCAAGGTTCAGTTACATAAACTAAAAGTAACATCTAGAAACTGGCCAGTGCTCAGATAATCTAAAACTGGAAACAAAATTGAACCACTTAGCTTTTTACTGTGTTTCATAAGCCTGCTTAACCCCGAGCTTTCAGTCTTGGGAATAAATGCTGACATTTTATTTCTAGGAGATTAGAACCAGTGGTATAAATGTTAATGTCCTTGAGGGAAAACAGATTTGAGTTGGTGGGTTAGAGGAACCAACCAACCGAGTTAGACATCGTAGTTAACAGAACTACTATTCCTTTTCATGCTTAGAATTATAATCCTCACCTGACTTTTCTAATCACAGGCTGTGTGAGGGTATTTGACAATTTTAAATGGTTGCATTTAAATAACAGCTCAGTCCTTCCCTAATCTGCCTACTTGAGGGTTAATGGTTCTGTGAGAACTGTTCCGACTTTTGGAATTTCATTTAAGTTTTTACTGGTAGTGTAGATAGATCATTGTAGTGAATGTTAAATTCCAAGTAATGCAGTATGCTTACAAATGACTAGACACAGCTGCTTGACATTGGTGGCTTACCCAACAGGCTTAATTTTCTTTCCATTGGAAAAATAATTGCTGTTGGTTCATCTGGTTGTAAAAAAAAAAACACAATGGTATGATACAGAGAGTTTTCCTTGTTTAACTGGTGGTTGCACATAGAACATGGATGATAATAGATGGACTTTTTGGAATGTTTTGTATTAAACAATAAAATCTTAACATGTCTTTGTGGCAGTGGGTTTATTATTTCTCAGAGCTAGAAATATTTTTTTGTCTTAACAATTCCCATCTTGCCCCAACAGTAGTTTTGGTGCACTAATGCCAGTTGGTGTGTTTTAGGCAGACATGGGAGTGGCCTACCTGCCCGGTGGTGGTATGAGTGAATCCCAGATAGAAATCGGGGTGATTGAGATGGTCTCATTTTAATTATCACCCTAAAAGTGGAGCATTTAACATCACTGATGTGTACTGATGCACTTACTTTCTGCTTAATTTTTAAAGAGATTTCCATTTGTACGGCAAACTTGGAGATACGGAAAGATCTTCCATCTGCCAATTAGCTCCCTTAGTGTTCACACTAAGTGTTCAGCCTGAGCTGAACTGATCTAAAGCCAGGAGCTTTTTCCTGGTCTCACATGTGGGTACAGGGTCCCAAGCCTTTGGACCATCCTCCACTATCTTCCCAGGCCACACACACAGCTGGATATGGGGGGGCACCCATAGGGGGTCCAGGTGCAGGCGAGGTGAGGAGTTGAGCTACTGAGCCATCATGCTTACCCCTGCTCAATTCTGGGGGAAGACTGAATCCTACTTGGAGTAATGAAGCTGTTCTTCCCAGAGGCTGAGCTGCGCTTTCTTCACCAACTGATCATTTGTACTCACGGTGGAATGCAGCTAAGCACTAACAGCTTATGGGGACATTGGATTTTTCTGTATCCGTTTTGATGCCCCCAGATAAACTGCCTCAAGTCTGTACCAATAGTTTCAGGAGAGAACCAATTTGTCAAACCTGTCCAATCTGTGGATGCAACATCATATTTACCCTTGATAATAAACTTTAATGTTAGGAAGTTCCAGTGTTGATGGATTCAGCTTTTAGGTATGCAATGGCCAAGAATTTTTCCCTGAGCTATCTGGGCTGCTGCTAGGTTTGGCTGTATGTATGCTGTGAATTCACATTTCCTTTGGAATTGGTGGCTATACCAAAGAGTAGATGATGTTTAGTTTTGAAGAAATTGGCTGATAGTTTCCACTAACATTGTACCGTTTTATGTCCTTAGCTACAGTTTATGAGAATTTTGTTCCACAGTGTTCTTCCCAGGATTTGTGGGTCGTGATGTGTTTCATTTTGACTACTTTGGGGGTAGGGTAGACCTTTGTGATGTTAATTTGCATTTCCTTGATGACTAAGAATGCTGAACACTTCTTTAAAAGACTTATTTTGGGATAATTCTAAGTTTTAGTACGAGCTGCAAATAGTTTCCATATATACAGCATCCTATTTTTCTTAATTTTAGTACATTATGTAACTGGTACATTTTTCAGAAATAAAATTATCGGTATGTTACTATTCAGTTTTGTGTGTGTGTTCACGTTTGTGTCCTAGGCTGTTTAGCACACCTTCATTCATTTGTCAGTTAAAAATGGGATTGCCTGTTTTTCAAGTGTTAGATTTTATTGTGGGTTTAACTTGAGAAAATGTGTTGTGACTATCTCCTCCCGCTATATGTCCTGCTTTTCAATTTTCTTTCTTTTTTTTTTTTTTTTTTAAAGATTTATTTTTATTATTTTTTCATTGGAAAGGCGGATATACAGAGAGGAGAGACAGAGAGGAAGATCTTCCATCCGATGATTCACTCCCCAAGTGAGCTCAACGGGCCGATACTATGCCGATCCGAAGCCAGGAGCCTCTTCCGGGTCTCCCACGCGGGTGCAGGTTCCCAAAGCTTTGGGCCTTCCTCGACTGCCTTCCTGGGCCACAGGCAGGGAGCTGGAAGGGAAGCGGGGCTGCTGGGATTAGAACCGGCGCCCATATGGGATCCCGGGCGTGCAAGGCGAGGACCTTTAACCACTTGCGCCACCGCGCCGGGCCCGTGCTTTTCAATTTTCTTGAAAATTATCAAAGGCAAATTATCAAAGGTCTCAAAACTTATTTTGTGACCTCTAAAAACCCTTTGCTTTGGTCTGTTTTCTAGAACTTTTGCTTTCCAATTTTTATGTTAGGGCTATAATGTGTTTTAAATAAATTTTGTGGTATGGGGTGGGAGTTGGAATTCGTTTTTACTTTTCAAATGTAGATACTTGTTCCATATTAGGGTGTCTGGGTTCAATTCCTAGTGGCAGTTTGGTTCCAGCCTCTGGCTAGTGAGGAACCTGGCAGGCATTGGCTTCCCGTCACCCTCCTGGGAGACCTTGCTTGTTGAGTGGGTGTTTTGCCCCAGATTTTTTTGCTTTGAAATGTTTGCTGTTTTTCATTTTCTTGAAAGAGTGATGCAGGGACCTGACCTTCCATTCTCTGCTCCACTCCTGAAAGGCTCACAGTCTCGCAGGCTGGGCCAGGCTGAAGCCAGGAGTCTAGGTCTCCTGTATGGGTGGCAAGTGGCCAGGTCATAGGCCATTATGCACTTCCAGGAGCACTAGCAGGTTAGACATGCACTGTAGCTTGCCCGTGAATAAACGCCATGGCATGTGGGAGTCCCAAGTCACAACCTAGGCCTGGTGCTCTGTACCGCCTGCCCTGCTATTGCTTTTTTTTACTTCCAACTTGTTAGTAAGATTTTGCTCACGTGACTAGATCTTGGGCTGACTGTAAGCTTCACTGTGGATGCAGTTGGAGAACCCCTGATGTTAGATTTTTCTTTCCCTCTTGAGAGCCTTGGTAAAATCCTAGTCTTGAGGATGTAACATACTCGGTAGTTCAAGGAATGTGGTTGGGGTTTCTAGGCCTGTGTGTCTGCACATGTACTAAGCTGTCCGGGTTCTGCAGTGTAATCCATCTGCGCGTCTCTTGCTGCTGGGGAGAGCTGGGAAATGATCTCCGATGTGACTGTGTGGCCAGGTGCCCTCCATCGGTGGTACGGCCTCTTCACTTGGGGCTGGCCTCTGATTCAGTCCAGGCATGACTATGGGTGTTACTGGTTGACCCTGAATGTGTCAGCGTCACCCTCGTGACGGTGGGGGGCTGACCTGCACTCTCCATACTTGTTCCTGTTTGTTGACTGGCGATGGCAGCAGCTAGGAAGCTTAAATGAGTTAGCAGCGCTAATCACTGCAGAAGTATATTAGATATTGCCATCTGTTAAATTTACTGTGTCATCTTAACGGTTGGAATTGAGGCAGCTTGTTATGTTAGCTCAGCAATTTAAGGACTGAAGTGGCCGCAATGGCGGCCGGTGCTGTGCTGATCCAAAGCCTGGAGCCAGGAGCTTTTCCAGGTCTCCTATGCGGATGCAGAATCCCAAGGCTTTGGACCATCCTCAGTTGCTTTCCCGGGCCATAAGCAGGGAGCTGGATGGGAAGTGATCGGATTAGAACCAGTGCCCATATGGAATCCCTGCACATTAAATGTGAGGACTTTAGCCGCTAGGCCACTGTACCAGGCCCAAGTTTGCTTTTTCTGTGTTTTTTTTTTTTTTTTTTTTTATATAAGATTAGTTCACACGAGATCTCATTCCCACTTGTATTCATTTTCCCATTTCTATGCATATACTGGCAACATTCAATGATTTTAGTATATATCCTTTTGTTTTCTAATGAAATCTGTTGATGCTTTATATACTTGTGTTTTTTCGTTTGCAATTTGTCATTGTTTTTATGAGCTGTGTCTCACTGAATTACCCTTAGCACAAATATGTGCGGGTTATTGCTTTTTTTTTAAAAGATTTATTTGGGGCCTGCTGCAGTGGCCTGGTGGCTAAAGTCCTCGCCTTGAGTGCACCATGATCCCATATGGGTGCTGCTTTGTGTCCTGGCAGACCCACTTCCCATCCAGCTCCCTGCTTGTGGCCTGGGAAAGCAATCGAGGACAGCTCAAAGCCTCTGGGGATCCTGTGCCCCTGCTGGAGACCCAGAGGAAACTGGCTTCAGCTCGGCCCTGGCCATTGTGGTCACTTGTAAGGAGAGTCATCAGACAAAGGATCCTCCTTTCTGTATATCTGACTTTGCATTAAAATAAACTTGGGCCCGGCCCCATGGCCTAGCGGCTAAAGTCCTTGCCTTGAACACACCAGGATCCCATATGGGCGCCGGTTCTAATCCCAGCAGCTCCACTTCCCATCCAGCTCCCTGCTTGTGGCCTGGGAAAGCAGTCCAGGGCGGCCCAAAGCTTTGGGACCCTACACCTGTGTGGGAGACCTGGAAGAAGTTCCTGGCTCTTGGCGTTGGAATGGCATAGTATCGGCCGTTGTGGTCACTTGGGGAGTGAATCATTGTGTGGAAGATCTTCCTCTCTGTCTCCTGTATATCTGACTTTTCAATAAATAAGTTTTTATAAAAAAAACTTAAAAAAAAAACTAATGAAAAATTAGGTTTGCAGAGAAAGATCATCCATAACTGATTCTCCTAGAGGCCACGAAGGCTGGAGCTGAGCCAATCCAAAGCCAGGAGTGTCTTCCAGGTCTCCCACGTGGGTGCAGGGTCCCAAAGCTTTGGGCTGTCCTCGACTGCTTTCCCGGGCCACAGGCAGGGAGCTGCCGGGATTAGAACCGGCGCCCATATGGGATCTCAGGCTTGCAAGGCGAGGACCTTAACCACTATGCCATCACGCCAGGCCCAAGAAAAAATCTTGTATCCACAGATTCACTCCCCAAAGGGCTGTGCGGGCCAGAATTGAGCCTGTCCAAAGCCACGAGTTTCATCTGGTTCTCCAGTGTGAGTGCAGAGTGCTAGGCTCTGGGCCGTCCTCAACTGCTTTTCCAGGCCACAGGCAGGGAGTGTGATGGAAGTGGAGCAGGCAGACAGCACCTGGCCCCATATGGGATCTCTACTTGCAAGGTGAGGATTTTTAATTCTTTTTTTTAATTTGAAAGCACAGTGGCAGAAATAGATCGATTCCATCCACTAGGCTGGACTAAGCTGAAGGCAGGGGGCTAGAACAACCAGGGTTCCCACATGACTGACAGCACCAAGCATTTTAGACAACTGCTGTTTGCTCATCAGGACACTAGGTCCTAAGAGGAACAGTTGGGACTTGATCTGGCCCTCAGATATTGATGCCAGCATTA